ACAAATAACAAGACCAAAGAGACAAATTACAAGTAAGAAGAAAGCCAATATACAAATCTACCTACCTGAATTAGTAGTCCAAAAATCATGGGATGAGAAACAAAGGAAATGCAAGAGAACTGGAAAACAAGTGATAAAATGGCAGCGTTAGACCCCCACATTTCAATAATCACTCTAAAGGTAAATGCATTGAACTCTCCAATCAAAAGACACAGAGGGGCAGGATGGATTAAAGAACAAGACCCAACAATATGCTGCCTCCAGGAAACACACCTCAGCCCCAAAGACAAACACAGACTCAGAATGAAGGGATGGAAGACAATACCCCAAGCTAATAATGAACATAAGAAAGCAGGTGTCACCATACTTATATCAGACAAAGTAGACTTCAAAGCAAAACAGATAAAGAAAGACAAAGAGGGGCAGTTTATAACGATAAAAGGGACACTCCACCAAGATGACATAACACTTATAAATATATATGCAGCCAACACAGGAGCACCAAAATTTGTAAAGCAACTATTAGCAAAACTAAAAGGAGACATCAACAACAATGCAATAATAGTAGGGGACCTCAACACCCCATTAACACCAATGGATAGATCATCCAGACAGAAAGCCAACAAGGAAATTGTAGAATTAAATGAAAAATTAGACCAGATGGACTTAATATATATATAGAACACTCCATCCAAAAACAGCAGGTTACACATTCTTCTCAAGTGCACATGGAATGTGCTCAAGGATAGACCATATCTTAGAAAACAAAGCAAGCCTCAACAAATTCAAGAGGGTTCAAATAATATCAAGCATCTTTTCTGATCATAATGCTATGAAACTAGAAATCAACTGCAAGAATAAAGCTGGGAAAGGGGCAAAAATGTGGAGACTAAACAACATGCTACTTAACAAACAATGGATTACTGAAGAAATCAAATATTATCTGGAGACAAATGAAAATGAAAACATGCCATACCAACTCATTTGGGACACAGCAAAAGCAGTCCTAAGAGGGAAATTCATTGCAATATAGGGTCACCTCAATAAACAAGAAAAATCTCAGATAAGCAATCTCAAATGACACCTAACAGAATTAGAAAAAGAAGAACGAACAAAGCCCAAAGTCAGTAGAAGGAGGGAAATAATAAAAATTAGAGCAGAAATAAACAATATTGACATAAAAAAGACAGTAGAAAGGATCAATGAAATGAAGAGTTGGTTCTTCGAAAAAATAAACAAAATTGACAAACTCTCAGCCAGACTTACTAATAAAAAAAGAGAGAAGACTCAAATAAATAAAATTAGAAATGAGAGATGAGAAATCACAACAGATACCACAGAAATACAAAGGATCATAAGAGAATACTATGAAAAACTATATGCCAACAAATTGGACAACCTAGAAGAAATGGATAAATTCTTAGACTCTTACAACCTCCCAAAACTGAAGCAGGAAGAAATAGAGAATCTGAATAAACCAATCACAAGCAAATAAGTTGAAACCGTAATCCAAAACCTCCCCAAAAATAAAAGTCCAGGACCAGATGGCTTCTCTGGAGAATTCTACCAAACATTCAGAGAAGATTTAATACCTATCCTTCTCAAACTATTCCAGAAAATTGAGGAAGATGGAACACTCCCTAACACATTCTATGAAGCCAACATCACCCTGATCCAAAAACCTGACAAGGACAACACAAAGAAGGAAAACTACAGGCCAATATCACTGATGAACATAGATGCAAAAATCCTCAACAAAATTTTGGCAAACTGAGTACAGCAATACATCAAAAAGATTATACATCATGATCAAGTGTGATTTATACCAGGGACACAGGGATGGTTCAACATCCGCAAATCAATCAACATGATACACTACATTAACAAAATGAGAAACAAAAACCACGTGATCATCTCAATAGATGCAGAGAAAGCATTTGACAAGATCCAACATCCATTTATGATAAAAGCTCTCAATAAAATGGGTATAGAAGGAAAGTACCTCAACATAATAAAGACCATATATGACAAACCCACAGCCAACATCATACTCAATGGGCAAAAACTGAAAGCCATCCCTCTGAAAACAGGAACGAGACAAGGGGGCCCACTTTTACCACTCTTATTCAACATAGTACTGGAGGTGTTGGCCAGTGTAATTCAGCAGGAAAAAAATAAAAGGAATCCAAATAGGCAATGAAGAAGTGAAACTCTCGCTGTTTGCAGATGACATGATCTTATATATAGAAAACCCCACAGAATCCATTGGAAACCTATTAGAAATAATCAACAGCTACAGCAAAGTTGCAGGGTATAAAATCAACATACATAAATCAGTAGCATTTCTATACTCTAATAACGAACTAACAGAAAGAGAACTCAAGAACTCAATCCCATTCACAATCGCAACAAAAAGAATAAAATACTTTGGGGTAAATTTAACCAAGGAAGTGTAAGACCTATACAATGAAAACTACTAGACTTTCCTGAAAGAAATTGATGACATAAAGAGATGGAAAGACATTCCATGCACATGGATTGGAAGAATAAACATAGCTAAAATGTCCATACTACCTAAAGCAATCTACAGATTCAATGCAATCCCAATCAGAATCCCAATGACATTCTTTACAGAAATAGAACAAAGAATCCTAAAATTCATGTGGGATAACAAAAGACCCCGAATTGCTAAAGCAATCCTGAGAAAAAAGAACAAACCTGCGGACATCACAATCCCTGACTTCAAAGCATATTACAAAGCTACAGTGATCAAAACAGCATGGTACTGGTACAAAAACAGGTGCACAGATCAATGGAACAGAATTGAAAGCCCAGAAATAAAATCACACATCTATGGACAGCTAATCTTCAACAAAGGAGCTGAGGGCCTACAATGGAGAAAAGAAAGTCTCTTCAACAAATGGTGCTGGGAAAACTGGACAGCCACATGTAAAAGAATGAAAATTGGCCATTCTTTTTCAACGTTCACAAAAATGAACTCCAAATGGATCAAAGACCTAAAGATTAGACCTGAAACGATAAGTCTTCTAGAAGAGAATATAGGCAGTACGCTCTTTGACATCAGTATCCAAAGGATCTTTTCAGAAACCAGAACTCCTCAGATGAGGGAAACAATAGAAAGAATAAACAAATGGGACTTCATCAGACTAAAGAGCTTCTTCAAGGCAAGGGAAAACAGGATTAAAACAAAAAAAACAACCCACTAACTGGGAAAAAATATTTACAAGTTATTTATCTGACAAAGGCTTAATCTCCATAATATATAAAGAACTCACACAGCTCAACAACAAAAAAAATTAAAAAATGGGCAGGGGAGACGAACAGACATTTCTCCAAAGAAGATATATGGATGGCCAATAGGCACATGAAAAGATGTTCATCATCACTAATCATCAGGGAAATGCAAATCAAAACTACACTAAGATATCACCTTACATCCATTGGAATGGCAAAAATAACCAAAACAAAAAGTGACAAATGTTGGAGAGGTTGTGGAGAAAAAGGAAACCTCATACACTGTTGGTGGGAATGCAAACTGGTGCAGCCACTATGCAAAACAGTATGGAGATTTCTCAAAAAATTAAAAATAGAAATACCATATGACCCAGCCATCCCACTATTGGGTATCTATTCAAAGAACTTGAAATCAGCAATTCCAAAAGTCCCATGCACCCGGGTGTTCACCACAGCATTATTTACAATAGCCAAGACATGGAAGCAACCTAAGTGCCCATCAACAGATGATTGGATAAAGAAGATACGGTGTTTATATATATATATATATATATATATATATATATACACAATGGAATACTACTCAGCCATAAAAAAGGATAAAATTGTCCCATTTACAATAACATGGATGGACCTTGAAGGTATTATATTAAGTGAAATAAGCCAGATAGAGAAAGACGGACTCTGTATGACTCCACTCATAGGTGGAAGTTAAACATAGAGACAAAGAGAATTGATTGGTGGTTACCAGGGGAAAGGGAGTGTGGGGGGAGAGCACAAAGTGTGAAGTGGTGCACCTACAACATGACTAACAATAATGTACAACTGAAATTTCACAAGGTTGTAAACTATCATAAACTTAAGAAAAAGTTAAAAAATATATAAAAAATAAAAAAATAATCAGACCAAAGAGACACATTTTGAGGTGGCCAATTCTGATCCCGCACAATAGTCAAAGACTATATAGAAACATATTTTAGACCAGAGTCAGGAAACTCTTTCTGTAAAAGGTCAGAACGTAAACGTTTTCAGTTCCCTGAGTCATATGTTCTCTGTTGCAACTACTCGGCTCTACTCTTGTAGCACAAAAGCAGCATGGACGGTACTTACATAGATGGGTGGGACTATGTTCCAATAAAAATGTATTTACAGAAAAAGGCTACTGGTCAGATTTGGCCTATAGTTTACTGACCCCTGATTTAGACTCTATCAGAGAAATAGGACCTGAGATGAGCATCTCAGAGGAAGAGGGAAAAACGGGTGGATCAGTCTTTGGTTAGTGTGGCCACTTGAATAATCACAACCTTATTTCTTGCTGGTGATTATTTTAACATATTAAAACTACAAATAAGATTTATGACATATCCCATGAATATGTGAGAAAATAAAGGAGTTACATTTAATAATAGAATGGCTTTATTCATTTAAAAATATTTTTAATACAGGATTTGCCATAGTCATAATTCATTCATGAGGAGCAATTGCCAAATACGAAAACAGTGTTATAGAAATCCACAGGCAGAGTGAAGGAAGGCCTAGAAGGAAATAAGAAAACCCTCATAGAACATGTGCAGTGCAAGTGTGCCCCTGTCATGCACAGAGGTCTTAATTTTCAAATCACCATGGAATATTCTGGAAAACCACATTCACCCCAAAACCTCAACAAAGGCTCTCTTTCTCATTCATGTCCCCTCTAGCAACTAAAAATTTACTGAGCAGTGAGGCAAATAAAGAAGTCTGGAAAATTTGACGGAAGATCAGAAAGCTTTATTTTAATATTAGGTACACTGACGTTCTAATGAAATCCTGGCCTTACAAAAAGAACTTGTTTCTGAAAAGTTGATTTGAGGAGTCCATTGAAACACAAAGGCTTGGGTAGAGAGTGCTGCTGGCTCAGATTGTATGACAGAGCAACTTGTCTCCCAAAGGTCACTGCACTGTCCCTCATGATGACATTAAACTTCAGTGTCCTAGAGGTTAGGGAGAAAAGTACTCTCTGTTTTATTGTGAAACTGAAATCCAGGCAGATTCGGCTACAGTCACTAGTCACAGCCATTGCCATCATTCTCAAAATGACTTTCATTTCTAGAGGCGAAAACAAAAGTGAAACTGAGGAACTGGCCACCTGGCAGCCTTCACTTCCACATGGCCAATGCCCCTGCTCTACCCCCAGTATATTCATGCACTGCATAATGATGTTTCAGTCAATGACAAACGACATATACAACCGTAGTCCCATAAGATTAGTACCATAGAGCCTAGGTGTGTGGTAGGCTACACCACCTAGGTCTGTGTAAGTGCACTCTATGACATTCACACAAAACTGAAACCATTTAACGATGCATTTCTCAGAACACATCCCCGTCATTAAGCATCTGACTGTACATATATTTCCTTTATAGTTGAATCTCCATCCAAATATCCCAAAGATGTCAGTTGATAAATATTAATATATCTCTTACCCCCAATTAAGTATTTACAGTTTCAAAGAGGACTTTTAAAGACCAAAGGGTCTTTAAGGCCCTGGTGATGATTCTGTAATAGTCAAACTTGAAGCATCACCAGTGATGAAATTAGTTTATATGGGACAGGGAAACAGCTTCTTCCGAAACTAAACCTGACTATCAGCTTCCCAAACACTTAGGAAACAGTCTTTGTCAATTAAGCTAATAGTGGAAAACCAGCAGTCTGTTCACCATATCAAACATGTTTCTCACAAACTGTTATGCACTATAAGTTATCAAGGGATGTGGTTAATTAAGTTTCTCTAAGTATGTTTACCTAAAGCCTCACTCACAGGAATCTGAAATGAAACAAGAAGCACACATCTCTTGGTCGCCCACTCTATTTATTATATGGTGCTAGATGCTGGGAACACTAAGAAATATAAGACATGACACGGTTCCTGCCCTGAGGGAGTTTTCATGATCAAAACAAAAATACATAGTAAAGCAAATCATCACTTGGATAGCATAAATCCCCACCAAAAATGCGATAACACACTCATCAGAATCACCCCATTTTTTACTGATTTTCCACTATATTTAGAATAAAGATAAGACTTCTTCATAGGACCTATAAAAACCCATATGCCCTACATGACAGCCTTTTCTCTGCCATAAGTCCACTTGCTCTCTCTGCTCCAGACATATTTCAGTCCCTTGTTCTTACCATACTCCCTCCCACCCCAGAGCCTTTGAACAGGCCTTTTCCTGAGCCTGGAAGGCTCTTCATTCCACTTTTCCCCTAGATAATTCCTTTTCATAATCAAAACTCAGGTGAGTTGTCACTTTCAATCCCCACCACGTGCTTTCATTGCCCCCATATGCCTATCCTTCTTGGTATTTTTCACTGTAGCAAATCCTTTATCCATTACATAATTACTTAATTAGTATATTTCTCTCTACTCAGAGCTCCATGAGGCAAGGGTCATGTCTATTGTTTGCTTATCACTGAATTGCTAACACTTAACATACAATAGGGCTTCAATAGATATTTGTCTCAATAAATGGATGAATGAATGAATATGTAGACTTATATAAATAAGTTAATCCATATTTTTTATTTGATAATAACCATTTAATATATAGTTATTAAAAGTCTAAAGTTCACTCAGCAAGTATTTATGAAATCCCCACCATGTACCTGGCACTCTGCCGGCACTGTAATGCAGAGATGAAGACACTGTCCCTGTCATTGCTGCCCCCTGAGAGAGACAGATGAGTAAACAAATAATTACAACACGACACACATTGTAGGTAAGAGAAATCCAGGCGCGATGAGAACACAGAGGCAAGAATTAACTCTGCCTCGGGAAGTGGCAGAAGACAGACTTCTAAGGAGGTGGTCTTTGAGCTCTTGTAGAAGAAATAGAAGTGCAATGGGCAAACTAGTGAGAGAAGCCGTTCTATGCAGAAGATGGAATGTGAAAAAGTCAACAGTCCTGAAGAGCTAGGAATATCCTGGAAGAGCAGATAGTGAGGCACCACTGTGCCCGAGAGTGTGTGGGAAGGGAATGAGTTGAGATGGGGTGGAAACTGTGGGCTGAGGTGAAGAGAGGAGGACACGATAAATCTGAGGTAAGAACAACACACCCAAGTGGGACTGAAAGGCAGTTAGCGGGATGTACAGATAAAGGTTGGGGAAGGTGATCAGAAAGAGAGAAATGCCTTCACAGGAATGATGGGGGATGCGTGGGAATCAGGGACTCCCGTCTCTGGTCACCTTTTCAAAATCATACTTCATAGCACAGTGTTTCCCACATTTCCCTAAGGAAAACAGTCACGTGGCTGTTAAAATGCACATTCCAGGGACATATCCCAACCCCCCAAATCAGCATCCCCAAAGGAGAAGCCTGGAAATCTCATGTTTAACCAACACCCCAGGTAAGTCTTAGTATCAGGGAAGCTTGAGAAACATTTTCAAAGGGAACTCCCATTCCTCCCTCAGGTGAGCTCAGCATCCTTTCCCAGCTCTGTCTGTTGGCCTGGCAGGGATGTGGCTGTCCAAGAAAACATCAACTTCCATTAGGAATTAACATAATGACCTTTTTCCCAATATAATGATAAAGCATGACTGTGCTGGCACATGGAAAATACAAGTGTAGTCATCATATCTTTGGGAGAATTGCACATGCAACTGGAGGAAAACTTCAGCCAATTATGCCCAAAAGCTAGAGAAACTGGATGCTGTGCAGAAGGAAGAACTCCTGCCATGCATGTGGAGTCTATGGGTGATTTCTTAGGCCTCCAAATCCATTTGCTTCTCCCCAAATGACTAACAATTAAATCACCAGTTGAGGTCCCAAGAGCTGTGTGGCCGACTACAGAACAAATGAAATTTCTCCAGCACTTAGTGGTCGGGCTTTTCACTGACAGAGAATGCAGAAAGGATGTATACACACATCACACAGCCAGTCTGAGTTTGCCTCACCCCCTGTACAGGAGAAACACTCTTTCTGTGCTATTGAGAAATTAGTGTTCAGAGTTTGAGTTGGTCATTCTCTTATCATGTGGATAGCAACCCTCAAGCTCACACACTTCCTGTGACCAGCTGGGTCACCGCTCGACGGTCCGTGATGCAGCTATAAATGGAAACTTGGTGCTGAACCATTGCTAAGGGAAAGCTGTTTGCCTGCTTGGGAAGCCAGCTGGGTAACTGCCTTCAACCTCAGAACTCACTGAAAAGCAACGTGGTAGAATCTTGTGTTGTTTATATAGTTTCCTTCATGAGTTTAGCTGGATAAATTCATATCTCTGTGCCTCAGTTTCCTCACCTGTGATTCATCATAAATGACGAATTTTAACCTGTATCATATGATACTATAAAAATAAAAGATGTTTTTAAGAGTTTGCGTGACAGGATACCCAAATTACTTGTTGGCATGAAGCCATATTTAAATGGAAGCCTTTTGTTCCAGTGGGCAAATACGTATAATCTCTTATTTTTCTCATTTTTAAATCAGATTGAATGAAACTAAATTTAAATAGGCACCCTATTTGAGGCAATAGCAAATTGCTGGGGAGGAAAATGTTTGTTCAAAAGCAGAACACCTGAGAGGTAAATACTATTATGTCTGTATTTTATATCTCTTTCCTAACAACATCTGAATGTAAGAGAAGATGCTCTTAATAAAAGATGACTTGTTTTCCAAAATGTTGTACTGTTGGTTTGGTAAAAGAGGTTCCAAGTAAGGAGAGCTATGAAAATGGAGAGGAAAAAAGAGTAATTCCTGCGTGTTACAGAGCTGTGGACAGACTTCCCAAAATACCAAAATTTGTACTTGGTAGGCCAAACAAATGTATTTAAATGAGGATCTCAGGAAATGCTGGGCATTGCTTTGTCAATGGCCATCTCTAAATTTTACGGATATCATGTCCACTCACAATATGATCCATGGAGTTTTCTGAGGTTTCTTGCCCATTGGTCCAGAGTGGAATTTCTCATACAGTTTTTACAATGAATGATGATAAGAATTATACAGAAAAAATGAAATAGGAGGGTCATGTTCAGAACCCAAGTATATATGGACACTTGATTTATGACAAAAATAAAACTATGAGAAGTGGGGGAAGAATCATCATTACAATAAATACTGCTGGAACAACTGGATATCTGACAGAGGGAAAATCATGTTGAATCAAAATGTTAGATAAAAAGTAATTCACATTGTGTATTTGACATCTCATAGTCTACAGCAGTGCTTCTCAAACTGTTGCCCATGGACCACTTGCATGCAAGTCACCTGGGTGATACTTACAGATATAGAATCCTGAGCCTGCCTTACACTTGTTGATTCTCTAGGAGTGAGACCTAAGAGTCTGTATTTTTATCAAACTCCCCTAGATGATTTTTAGTACACTACAGCTGGAGATTCACCAACAGAGTGTCTTGCAGTTAGAAAAACAATTATCTGAATTCCATCTCTGCCACTTATGGGAAAATTAATTCATCTGCCTAATGTCATTTTTCTCATCAGTAAAGTGGTGATAATAATGACCCCATAGGTAGGTTGTGATGATTGAATGAGATAAAGCATATATAGTGCTTAGCATAGTCCTAGTTCATAGTAAACACTCAACAAATGCTAAAACTACTCTCCGTATCCAGTAAACCTACTAGAAATAAAGTGTTTTCAATCACAAACAAAAATTTTTAATTACAATTTTGTACTAGTGTTACTGTATATAAAGGACAGTGCCTTAGTCAAGCATATTGACACGTAAGTGGAGAGTATTCGATCTTGAGATCTTGTTTGGAGGTACTACCTGGAGAACAGAGTTATTCATTCATTCACCCCACCAAAGAAATTGTGGTCCCATCCCTAAGATGCACCTTCAGGACTTGTGCATGTGATGCAGAGAGGGACATCCGCCCAGTGACCCTGATGTGCTAAATCACCTTGGTGATCATGCAATGGCAGATTAATTCATTCAGCAAACATTTCCTGGAAGACCATGATGTTCCAGGC